TCTACAGAAATTTAATTAAAACAACGCGAATTGAAATTCCCCCCGTTCCAATGTAACGCTTTGTTTTCATTATCATTAACCGCCCCACAATTTATCTTCGTTACGAAAATTTTCAAAAGTACTGCACTCGTACTAAAATTGGTGTTGAATTTGTATCCTAATTGTCTGTTACTGAACTTTGAGGTGGGTTCATTTAGTTACGATGACGAGAAAGATTAAAGTACACCTAACATATATCATACATATATGGATCTTATAACATTCATAAATATATTAATATATAAATTAATTTCAGATACATAACTATTTCGTTTTGTAATTTATACAAAACAATCATTTACATTTAGTACAAAATAGTCAAAAATGTGTGTGTATAGATAAAATACAATTTTTAAAACGATCTTGTACATTTGCTGCTGATTTTATTTTCTGTTAATTAAAGTGTTGTTCTCATAAATTGAACATAAATTTATTACACAACCAAAAATATTTCCGCTGCGGGCTTACTGATTTTAAACTTGAGTTTTATTGTAAATTTTAATTTTATCCCCAATTCTGTTTATACTAATAAATGTAAAAGTATGGGTAATTGTTACTCGTTTACTCAAACAGCTGTATCCTTTTAATAAATCATTATTACTGAATATTTTTGTATTATATATATGTATATTGCGTCCATCTATATCCATATATAAAATGTACATAAATGTTATATGGTTTTTTTCGTCTCAAGAATTGTTTAATCTTCCATTTTATCTTTAAAACATGAATTAGGATACTACATTTGGTACAAGAGACGTATATTAAGATTAATTTATGAGATAATTAACTAATTGTAAAAGCAATATATTTGAGGCCATTAGTATTTCAAGTGGTAACTCGAAAGGTAGGGTGTGTCATTTAAAATGTATTAAGACGAAGTTACCCATCTGTCAGGTTTGAACTATTCATTTCTTATTTTGTTTGCATATGATTTGAAAATATAAAAACAGTTTACTTGTAATGGAATTGGTTTTAAATACCTACTTTATAACTGATAAAAGAGACTTGTGTTGTGTTTCAACCCATTTTGTGAGAGAGTAAGCTTGAAAGAAACTAACCTTAGTGCTCAATGTCCCACTTTATTCACATCTTATAATAATAAAAAAAACATAACATTTAGATAACTGTAAATATACAATAAATAAATTGACTTGTCTAAAAATTTTGTCCACAAACGAAACAAGTTTAAAAGCCAGAAAAATTTCTTTCAAACTGACTTCAAAGGTAAGGCACTTATTTCGTTTTATTTTTTTACACATATCTCAGAAATGATACGAATTTTATATTATTCTTAAGTCTGGAATAATATTCTATAACAATATTTTCTATATATATTTTACATATAATATTTACTTATCAGCGTGTCTTTATATCAATAACCACAAATCTCGCGCAGGCATGTTTCGATAACATAGTGGGGAAGATGGAAAGGTTAGCTCTATTCCTGCAAAGCCTGATTGATAACGCTATTGATATAATAAATTAGGCCTTCTTTCCTCTTAATCTTATAAATTAATGTTACCTTTGCATCTTACTAATATGAGAGCATTTTGGCTATATATACTATCGATCATATTATGACATAAGTTTTGTAGTCAAATAGGTTTTTCAATTATGAATAGTTGTAAGTATTGAAATATAAGCGTTTCACATTTTTTTCTTACACAAAATTTAGTAATCTTCGTTTTTTTTCCTTTTTGCAAAAAACTTAATAGAAATGTGATATTACTGTTAATTTCTTAAATGTATGTAAATTATATTCTAGTTAGTGGTCTAACAAGTAGCTCTCTTACTTAACCAGACTAAAACGATATCATTTTCTATTACACTAAAAAAATCTTTATAAATCCGATTTAAACATGCCAAGAATAATTTAACTTCAGGCAACAGGAGTCTGTAATCCAATTTTGTTTCCATAACTTTCAATACGACGGGATTCATATTACAATTATTTCATAAATACGAATTGCTCATCTTATCTCAAAGGGATAACCGCTTTGAAGTATCTAAGAATGCTTAATCGAAAATTCTGAAATAGAGGATTAAAAACAGCCTATTAAATAGGTATATTAATAATTATGTATGATAAGCACTAATGATATTTGTTTGCAAAAACTTATCCTCAAGTATAAACAACGTTAGCATAAGACTTGGAATATTGCTTTTTATTTTATCCGAAATGTAGAAAAATAAACCAATAAAGAGCAATATTCATATATCTTATATTTTCTATGAAATTTTCCTTGTTATACATGTATAAAAATTCCTATTAAAACGGTCCAAGTCAGGTTTCATGATAGACGAGAGTCGTTCATATGTTGTTCAACTCTCAGTGTAAGCCACTCAATGCTGTCCGACCTTATTTAGAGTCAATGTCGTAAATATTTATTGTTGGATCTATTTATTTTTCAGATAAAAGAAACTTACACATTAACTTTCAACTTTTGAATGTCAAGTGTGTTGTTGTATAAGAAATAAAATTGAAATGGTCTGGAAAAAGTAATTTAAAGTTTCTTGAGAGTTTGTCAACATTTGATAGAACCCAATAAAGTTATCGACCTACAACGTATTTATATAAAATTGTAGGATTGCTGCGTAATTGTTAGTTTAATTTCAGTATCAAATGAACTATTCACTAAGCGGTTTGTGTGAGCGGAGCTTGTAAAATAAATGGAATAATACTTAGTTACTGCGATATAAAATATTCAAATGCTTTGTATTTCACCCTTCTAAATAGCGTTACAGGCAAACAAGTACATTAAAAACTAAATACAAATTATTTACTCCGTAAGACTCTATTCAACTTACCTGTCTTGACAAGGTATTGCGTGTTCCTGACACCGGAACTCAGCTTTTTTCTCAATTCTTTGTTAGGCTTCCTTTTGCGGGCCCCCCTTGCCCCCCTCGAGATAGGGACTGGGGGCCCATTGTGCCGGCCAATTTGAATATTCAAGTGTGGGCACGCTCCGTAAGCGATGTCGATGGCCGCTGAGGGATAAGTTTTTTGTGGTTTAGCGTAGTCGAGTTAAGTAATTAGTTTTGTTTTATTTGTAACCAAAGGCTTCGTTGTATTTTATATTAAATGTTATTATATTTAAGGTTGAATATTTATTCAGACTTATATTAGTAATCGAAAATTTATTACGCTCGATAAATGGTCCAGTTTAACCGTTTCATTCAATAAAATTATGTTTGAATATAATTGTTTAATTTTCTTTTTACTTTAAATACCGTACTTATATAGTCTGACATTACATATTTAATTTAAACATAGATTAAAACGAAGATACTTATTGTTATACAATGAATGTTCTTTGATGAGATCATTTTACAATAGCCGTTCTTCTAATAGTGTCCGCAGTGGTAAGTGTAGACACATAATTTTGCAATATGTACAATACAAATACACAGAATAACCGAAGATATTGAAATTAGGTAAGTATATGTGTAGGAATTATTTATTAAATTTCTTAATCGTCTAACTCTCAGACTCAAATTATATGGCTTTATCAATAACTATTGTTAAGTTTTTCTTTGTATTACTCTAACATTCAAGCTGGTCTATAGTAATATTACCTACCTGACCTACAAGCACATATTATGTAGGTAAACCTTTATATAAATAGAAACTATGTATTTTATTATTTATCTAACATAATATTAAGAAATGTCCAAATATTTTTTTGCCTTCGATTTGTTCAATCGTATATATTTATTTAACACTTTATTGTCAGTCGATAAAGGGCGGGACATCCCTAAACATTTTAGCTAGATAACAAGCAAGAGGTGAAAAGGGACTTGCTATAATCACGGACAGATAACAAGTCGAGAAAAAATATGGTTCTGTTGCTTTAGATCGAAATCTCTTTGGCGAATGTTGTACCCAGATTAATAGATTTTTTTATTCGAACCAATAAATAATGTAAATTAATTTTTATCTTTTCTTGCTTATGAAAATAATTTGTTATTTTATTATACGACAGCTATTTTCACATTTTAAATATGTTTCTCTGTATTAATTTAAAATAGTTTTGTACGTACAAATTAAAACGGAACGTTTAACTTCTAAATTGCACATTTCAGTACAAACACTAAATCACAAACATTAATTATAGAGAGTGTAGTAATTTTCTTCAACACAATTTTCAACAATGAAAGCAAATTAGCACTAAGAGAGACGCTAAAAAAGAAACTAAGGCAATTAAAAAAATATTAGGAACAAACACTGTATATGGAAATGGTAAAGCTATTAGCTTTGATATTGCTCTTTTATTTATTTTTAAATTGTTCTGGAACGTAAAAGTACAATACATATGTAATGGATGAATAAAAGAGATTACTTTAAAAAGTTTTTATATCGAATCATTTACTAGAAATTACCCCTTGATTATGGACATTGTGTATATACATTTATTTTATAGTTTCGAGAATACTGTTAACACCCCAGGGATGTGAGTGTTTAAGAAGCTGCTTTACGACACGTGATATAAAATTTAATTTCCTTAAACGGCCGTTTGCGTTTCATTTGGCTTAATGAAACGACAATAGACTGAAATAATTATGTTACATTAAAATGTTACTTTTGTATGTATATAAAGATCTCATATACCTTAAATACATAATCCTGGACTATTCGTGCCCTAATGTATGTGGGTAAGATTTCATGGTGCGTTTATCTTTATGGTACACTAAGATATTACGGACTGTAACATATATAATACTTATCGTATTATACGCTATTTGTGTGAACCAAATAGATTTATGTGTCCGAGTAATCAAAAATATTGCTGAAACAGGGATCTTTTATAAGTTTAGTTAGAAAAAGTCACATATGCGATACTTGAATTGTTTTACCTTTTAACTTTATATGAATCGTTTTTTAAAACGCCAGACAATTAGGCAACAAAAGGAATGGCCCAGGAAAGGTTTTAACCCTTTATCGGTTAAATTAATTTGTCATGGAAAATAGGCTTTCGTTAGGATTTATTGCCTCTCCCACCACTCGCCATTATAGACCTTACGTAAAGAAGAATAAGAATGGTAATTATAATAGTTCAATTTGCCGTACTTTTATGAATGTGACACGAGATAGCTCAGTTATCTCAAAGGCTTTATGAAAATTTATATCAAATAAATTTTCATAAAGCCATTCGGATTATAGAGTGAATTTATTAATGCTAACTTTACTGAAACCCGTATCTGGATAATTGCTTATTTATCCAACTATAAAATTTTCTATGTGTTTGAAACATTAATATTTTATAATAATATTGGTAAAATAGTTGTCTTACAATAGATTTATATACATATAGTTGGTGTTAAACAAACCTTAAATATAACAAGATTTTTTTTAAAAGTAACACTTATGTGAGGTAAAAGTGGCTGAAGTGGCCTGTTTATAAATCCCCTTTTTATAGTTAAGCTTATAAGTACATGTAATAAAAGTTACTGAAGTTTATATGTGGGCAACATTTCTTATTTTTTTCCTCACAATAATGAAAGATAATAAAAAACTTGTAATTAAATTGATCAAACGCATATATATAGTAATAATGGATTATGTCCATTTTACTTCAAATGTTTGTACTCATTTCGGTTAATAAGTAAAAATAAAGAAACAATAATTCTATCTGAAATGAAATCGAAATTAAGTAACGAATTATGAAGAAACAGACGAATTTTCCCACAGTAAAAACAAACAAGTAATTTTGACAGATAACTTATATATGCAATATAATTTTTAACCCACGAAGTGGTCTCAACGGTTAGAAGTTCCCAGTTTCGGTTCGATGCCCACCACTGATCAGGTCATGGGCTCCTAGTGAAAGCGTTTTAATATATCAAATAATTGGATTCCAATGTTATGTCATTAGATTTAACACAACAATATACATCTTGCAACTCGTAACGAGAACTATGTAATAGCACTAAAAGCTTACAATCATTACATTAAATGCATTTCATTTACAAGCCGAAATTTGCATTAAAAACTAATGAGCGAAGCCGTTCGAAAAACCTAGTGTGTTATAAATATCGCGTATTATCCTAGCTGTAAAAACATAATGCTTATAAAAATATAATATTCATTCTATAAAATTGGGTCTTCATCTCGATATCAATAACATCGGAAAATTAGATTTCCCCGGTTACTTGCATAGAGATTACGAAGAGAAAATTCCACTTAAATCGTTGCTTCGGATTCAATATTCATTGTTATTGCAAAGTAAAAGAATATCTCAGGAAATAATAACGCTTAGATTTCCCTATAATGAATCCTGTACAGACGGCTATCGTTTCACATAATTTAAAATATCTTCAGTACTTCACGAACGACAATCTATAATTAAAGTTATTTATATCTATCATTCAATTAAAACTCTCATATAATTCTATATCGTAGTGAGCACTTATCATTATTGAATCTATTATTTCTATTACTCATAATAATGAGAATAAAATTCTTAATATTACAAAGGAGGAAACGATTTTTTTCATGCTTGAACCAAGTAGATGATTGTCACGAAAATTAGCATACATATTGTCAAAGATGTGAACAAGGACTCAGGGTGCTTTTTGTCGAGAAAAATAACAGAGATATTTTAAAATGTGAAGTCGAGGACAAAATCTTGTTCATTCAAAATACGTTTTACATTTAAAAGCTGGAGATACTGTGATCATTACTTAAGTTCTTACACCATTAATATTTGGGTCATTCAAACAATTATAACGCTTCTGTAAATTAGTGTTATAACCGTCTTTAGTGTCGCCAAGATATGCTACTGTGAACTTAGTTACTTTACATTTATCATTAACAGTATGAAAAGCAAATTTAAATAAGCTTTTTACGGACATACAATTAAAAAGACTGCATAAGAAAGAGCGCAAACAAAACTCTTAATTCTGAACATATTATTATTGAGTATATAATTAATATTAATTCGATATATAATTGAATTTAATTCAACTTACTAGTTATAAGTCAAGTCGCTGTTAAATATTTACATTTGGACAATACACTAGCAACTAATTTAAATCACTGAGTACGTACCTACAGACTAACAAATTTAAACATACTACAAAGTACATTTAAGTCATACTATTAAGTAAGGAATAAAAATTTACATATTAACGAACAAAAGTCGCAATCAATTAATTTAAATAAAACCCCTCCAAAATAGACCATTTCAAAATTCTTCTTATCTTGTACTAAACCCCTTAATAATTTTATAAAAAAAGTAGAAAGATTACCATATTAGGCAAATGCCTATATAAAAACATACACCAAATATGTTATGTCAACGAATCACTATATTTTTTTTATACCTAGTTCTGACATCAAAAATCCTTTAATTTTTTTTTCTGTTTGACGTAATTTAGTATGTGAAATATTTTTTTAAAGTTCCGTCTGCATGTCGCCTTTGTAATCAGAAATAGCGACATTTTCATACAAAAAAAAATACATTGCATAAAATATATAACGTTATTAAAATCACGAACACTATTTAATAAATTTATGTATCCTTGCTAGAATAATTCAAAGAAAACTCAAAGATAAAATGGCAATTGTAATTCAAGTTTCTCTTTGAGTTGAAGCGAGCAATTAAAATGTTAATAAAATCACATCAAAAAGCCACACGTTCTGAAAGAGACTTTCGCAATCACTCCTTACTAAAAGTCTCTTTGTATTTGCTGATAATTATTATATTTTTAGAAAACCTAACATTTTATCACTTAGTCCGCTAAATGAATTTGTTTATGAGGGTTAATAAAATTATAATAGTAATAAAATGAGGCTACCTGTCAGTCAAATAAATCTTTATTAACACATATCTATAAAAAATAACAGAATGAAAATATTAACACAAATATTGAAGAAAACTTCTATATTTTAAATATTTTAGCTCAATATTTGTATAGGTAAAATAACGTTTAATAACGTTTACACTGACCACAATTAATAGCAGTTATTTCTATAACCCAATGTATTATTGTGTTTGTGAATAAATTCTTACAAAATCAATACTTCTATAATATTAAAAGACAATGTTCTTCTCTTTACAGTTCGAGACCATCCTTCACATCATGTCACAAGGTTACGACATTCAAGGCATCTCGATGGGTACCTGCCTTTACATTCATCCGTGAGTATAAGAATTATGATACCATTCCAAAGTCAAAGATCATCCATTCCCCATTGTCACATTAATTTTGCCCTCGAAGCTTTTTCCCTATAGAGTTTATATTGATTTATTGCTTCTTTTGTAAAATTTTAAAATTAGTGTGCATGTTTAAATTATATATTTAAATATCGATTGTGTGATAATGACGTTTGATTAAATTAAAGCTTCCGAGGAGATACGTAAGTAAACAGTCTGTATACAACACGATGTCTAATTTTACACCACTTTGTCTTAATAATTTTCTTTGATGTATCTCGCTACAGAACTAAGGCTGCAACGTAAGTTCTGTACAAAATTAATATCATAGTAATATAATTAATATTTTCTGTTATATCAAATCGTGCATGACTGTACTTTCTGTGGATTAGTTATTAGCGTCATATCATAGTTACTCTATATTGGTGATGGTGAGTTTAGTTTTAGCTTTGTATTTATATAGCCGTACTTCCGACCCCGGTTTCAGTTTACCCCTGCCTCTCCGAAGCTGGCTGTGAAGGACAATCACAAGCCTCTCTTCACTGAATGCCTAAACTATAGGCCAACCCTGAAAGAAGAGCAGCCTGTAGGAACATATGTGTTCACGGTACGTAGAACGTTCTTAACCAATAAAAATCATTAATACGACCACAATTAATATGTTCTAAATGATAAGTTTTAATAATAACTACTTTTATTATATGTGCAAGCATAACGTTTTTGTTACAAATTTTTATACGGCCCCACCAAGGCCGGTTGGACGGCTCGTAAAAAGAGTTTCCTTGCGTAATCAAAAAAAAAATACGTTCAAGCAATTTCGTTTTTGTGAATGAATGTTATGTTACCAGGTTCATGCCGAAGACCGGGATCCACCCGAAATGGGTGGTACGGTTACTTACAAATTCGTCTCAACTCCTGGTGAGAAGGAAAGATTTCATGTTGACCCAGAGACTGGAAGAATTACTACAGCTGATGTCAGTATATATTCTATTATAAAACACATGTATATACTATGTATGTACGTTTCATTAGGTTTTATATTCCTTCTTTCTAACTAGGTATAATTTTATGCCTTCCTTTCTTCTTGCATTGTCGTATTTGTATAATTGTAATTTTGTATGTAGCATTTAACTGTATCTATAAATAGCTTTCCTTATAAGGATTGAAGGTAGGTAAAAATCTTTGTAATATTAAAATAAAACATCCAATATTGTACAGATATTTGACCACGATGAACCATCACGTGAGAAAGAAGCATATATAACAGTCCGGGCAAGTGATAATGGCCAGCCCCAATTAGACGACGCGTGTACTATTAAAATACTTATAGAAGACATCAATGACAACCAGCCGGTCTTCGATAAAGTGGTGAGTAATCGCAGAGTTAACTCCATACGGTAGAACCGCAAATAATTTGCTCGGTTATATAGGACATATATAATCTCGCTACACTTCTTATTTAGCATAGCTATACGAATTGACAATAGACGGGTAAGATCTTAATTGGTTTATTGGCTAACCTAAATGCAACGCATTTTTCAAAATTATTATACCCCCATGGGTACCTACTCATCACATCTCACTTCTAGGTCTTGCTAACGGGATTTCAATTTATTCATGTTATGTTATATGTTTATTGTAATTAACTCAACATTATCATTTAGCCTCAAACCGTGGCGCAGACTTTATTAACACTTGCCTGTTTTTCGAAGGTCTTCCGAGGAGACGTTTGGAAGGTTTGTCATAAAGAACAGAGAATATCACAAAATGACAGAGTTGCGCACAAAAACTTGTTTTAACACTTAAAATATTAATTACTAATAATCGAGTGTTAGCCACGCTGCCATCAAATTATATTTGTCTGGAGCTGTGATAACAGTCGATAATTACGTGATTATATGAACAAATATATTTCTTTACTTGCATGTTGCTGCATGATTTAGGATCGTAAGCCGCCACTCAAGGCATTATCGGTAAACCTTTTGTATTGTGTGTGATATCACTTTTTTTGCACATTTGTAGTAGATGTGTTTTCTTTAGCTAGGCTGCTCAAATTTTCCCCTAAACGCATTTTATCACACTGCACGATTATAATTATTTTGGAAAACTTTCTCTAAGCTTTAGGCATGCTTCGCGTAGAACATGTCAAAGTGAACACGCTAACCCGGAGCAAAATTTTACGGTGAATACAAATTTCATGATTTAATTACTACGAGTAATTTAAGGGAACAGAAGCGAAAACGTTATGTCAACAATACAACGTTTTAATGTACCATTAAATGTTAGAAGTGAGTCTATTCCGAGGTATTGTCACCGATGTTTGTCTTATTGTATTGTTTTCTATGCAGTCGTATTCGGAGTCAGTGCCCCAAGATCTGCCGAGCGGTCGTGAGGTGATGCGAATATCTGCTACGGATATAGATGATGGCAATAACTCGATCGTACATTACAGTCTCGATTCAAATTCGCCGGATCAGGCCTATTTCTACATCGATCCTGATAACGGCGTCATATTTCTGAATAAGACTATTGACGTAAGTTATGTCTCTATCTATATAATCTATTTAATAGATAATATATAAATATAGATTTATTTTTAATGTATTATACTTAGTATAATTCTATAATTAATATTTCTTTAATAATTGCTTCTAAATATTTAATTACTCATTCATTTTTATATGACTATATGTATTTATAATATATAACTTTTTTATACAACAAAAATTTAATACTTAAACTAAAAACATATTTAAAAGACGCTAAGATATAAAAGTTTAAGAATAAATTGCGTCACTAATTTCTTGTTAAATTTATGCAGAAAGTGCCAGGCTACAAATTCAAGTTGAGCGCGATAGTAAAAGACATGGGTGATCCACCGCAACAAAGTTCGATTACTTTAGACATCCAAGTCGTTGAATCTAACAAGAAAAGCCCGTCTTTCATCGAAGTGCCCGATGAACCGATAAGATTAAAAGAAAATTATGCTGACTTCAACACCCCGATAGCAACTGTGAGAGCAGTGTGAGTAACAAAATTTAATTTGCTCTACCGAATTATCAAAGCGTTCGAAATTAACAAAGAAATTTTTAAAATAACCAGGTTTTTATGAATTCCTTTGAACTTTATCTTTTCATTTCTTCGACCCCGTGGCCTCGTTATCAAAAGAGTAAATTTTGTATTATAAATAATTATTAAAGCTTCATTTTTTATTCAGATCAAACATTCCGGAAGAAAAGAAATTACAGTTTGAATTGGTTATGGGTCAGACGGAACAAACGAATAAATGGCACACGTTTGTCTTGGAACCAGAGGCTGATTCCGCATACATAAAACTCGGTAACCATTTGGATTACGAGAAAATAACAGATTACACATTGACTGTTAGAATTCAAGTAAGTTATTTCACATAAAATATCAACACTTAAATTTATATCAGTCTTTTAATATCAAATTTTCTTTCAGAATAATTATAAATTAGCAGCTGAAACTATAATTCAAATAGAAATTGAGGATGTAAATGATAATATTCCTATATTCAGTGAAATAAGATCTGGTAGTGTATTAGAAAATGAACCTCCCGGTACACCCGTAATGCAAGTTAGGGCATTCGACGCTGATGGGACGTCAGCCAATAACCAAGTCACATACGAATTAGGAGACCCATCGGATCCATTCGCTATAGACAGCATAACAGGAAACATCACAACATTAAAAATGTTCGACAGAGAAGAGAGAAGTTTCTACAACATAAAAATTATAGCCACTGACAATTCTGAATCAGCTCTCATACCTGGCAAACATAACGCCGGCCAACAGGTTTTTCTTATAGAGATAGCTGATAAAAACGACAATCCGCCACATTTCACACAGGATACGTATGTAGCTGAGTCAATAGCTGAGAACGCTAACATTAACGAGCTCGTCACACAAGTTACCGCGTTGGATATAGATACAGGTAGGCCGATACTAATTAATTAATTTCTTTGCTATTTCCTTGCAATTGAAAATGCCATTAAAGAACTGTAAGAATATGTAAGTAGACTAAAAAGTATTACTTTGATGATATCTAAGATTTTTGTGACTTTTATTTGTTTATATGAAACTAATATTTTTCGGATATACTACGCGACTTTGTTTTTTGATAAAACCATACTCCCGGTATTTCGAACGTTCTTCGAACGTGTGTCATTAGTATTACTTTGGGATGTTTTTTTTTTATATTGTATATTGTAAAATAATATCAATGATACTTTTCAGCATCCGTGGTAACATATAGCATAGTAGCCGGTAACACATACGACGCGTTTGTGATACGTAATTTCACTGGTGAAATTCGGGTCAACAATGAACTCGATTACGAAAATATAACCAGCTACAGCTTAGACGTGAGAGCTTTTGATGGCTTGTATGAAGACTACGCGAAGGTCCTCATAAAGATTGAGAACCTCAACGACAATCCTCCGGTCTTCTTGGCCAATTACACGAAGACCATCGAGGAAGAAAAGTTATATGAAGGATGCATTGTAAAGGTAACATTAATAAAGATCATTTTATATAAAACAACTCTTTATTTCGATGTTATCATTAGACGAATCTGTATAAAATTATAATGATTGAGAATTTGCTTAAAGCTTTAGACAATCTAATATTTTTTTGTTTGGTACATACGTGTCTATAGAACAATAAGCCCGAACGAATGAACATTTTTAAGAATTATAACATCGTAACCCTAACCCAAAGCTAATTTTATTTACCAGGTCGAAGCCTACGATCCAGATTTAGACAGAAACGAACCACAGAACATAGTCTATTCTCTGGTGAAGCACGAACAGAAAGAGTTTCTTCAAATAGACAACGACGGTTGTTTGCGACTGACAAAACCCTTAGACAGAGATCAGCCTTCAGGGTTCACGAGGTGGCAGATCCTTATCATGGCTGCTGATCATGGAGGAAGACTTGGATCAGACAGTCTGCGATCAACCACAGAAGTTATATTGGAACTGACTGACATCAATGATAACGCACCTTTCTTGACTAATGTAAGTATAAGAGAGAGGGAGAGAGAAAGAGAGAGAGAGATAGATAGATGAAACCTCTTAGCATTGAGTAGATTCATCGTGATGGTGCCGGGTCCCGTTGCAAAGGGAGGAGCTTCAACAGTGCCTGGGACTCACGACTCAGGTGTAGGTTTAAGGGACCATTTCAATATCACAGCCTTTATACGCAAAATGAAATCTAGTTTATTGTTAAATAATTAATATCACGTTAAATATCTATCAAGGTGCTATAAGACCAAAATAAGTGACCCCAAAATTTTACTTAACTCGCTATAATTATGAACTATTTATAATCAAAGTCTTATCAAATGAACAGTTTTAATCGTAAATGGCGTGGAGAATAGAAGCACTCAATAACTGCTTCCTTAATAGCATTACATTTATAACGTTACTTCTTGCTCTCGTATCAAAAATAATTACAGCATTTAAATCTTAAAGGACGGACATGCAATTTCCTTATGAAATCCGTTTTATAGACCATTTTAAAGGTCTATCAATAAATTTAAATAAAGCTATCAAAACTAAACCTTCCACCCAGAGCGTCTGTTACCAGATATTACGTTTTATCCTTTAAATTATAACGTAAAGGTTTCTACAATATTTTCTACTCGGAACGATAAAAAAATACATATTTTTTCGCCACCTGATATGAGAATATATTGTCCACTACAAACTATTCGTGAATATTTTATCACAATGAACCGTGTTAGTAATGTACGCGAGCAATAATATGCAATTTATTTTATTGTTAAGCCAATAAAATATACTAAAGCATGTCCTTTAGTTTAAAGTTGCATTTGTTTTGTCTATCCCTCTATAAATTAAAGTGAAAAGCCCGAGGTAAAACCTGAAACACAACACCGTCCAGTGTCTCGTTTCAAAACGACTCGAATATCTTGATTAAAAACGATTGTCTGTGAACGCCTTTGTTTATCTGGCAGGTTTTTTGGCATTTAATTTCTTATCTGCGGTTTCATTATGGCGCGAACCTTCCGTCAAACGAAACATAGAATATCTTAAAATTTTGAACTCTGTACTTTTATAAAATAATGGCATATTTCAATAAGAATTTGAAGCGCCAATTTATTTAGAGCCAAAAAAATATATATTTCTATTAATGGATACGTAACTTTATCTTCTAGTATTTACTTTCTGTAATAGAACGTACATTTAAAATAATAGCTCTATTGTTATATCCTTTATAATTGTATCCCTGAGTTTTTTCTTTATACTGCGAAGTATTTGCTCTCTTCCCATTTGTAATATTTATTGAATCGTGAAAAATTTGCTCGTTAACGATGATCCGTTTGTACTCGTGTCATATGATATGGAGAAACTATAAAAATACCTTCTATTGTATACTGCATTAGTACTTTAGAATTATTCTATTTATATTCAACATTTTCTATCTACATTTACTAAATATGTTTTTAGCTAGATAGTTTAGAGAACTTTCTCATGCCTTTTCATAAGGGTAATTAAAATAAACACATTTTAACTATATCGTATATAATTCTGAAATATGACTTACGCGAATGTATTTCATAAAGTTGGTTCATCTGATTTAAAATATAAAAATAGCCATAGAACCACGCAGCTATCACTAACGTAAATAACATTTGGAATGGTTATATGGGTCGATTAAAATTTTAACCATTGAACGAAAATAGACAGTGTACAAACCAAATAAAAAAATTACACGCTCATCGATATTTAGGGCTACAGTACAATTACGTAATTGGACCATGTTATTGCTTGTCTATCAAAACTATTGACGAAATCCTTTTGACGAGGGTTCGAATAACAAATTAACAGGGCTGTTGTGTGATGTTTGACGGCCCACGCAGACAACATATTAACACATTTATGAAACGTTTGTAATATTAAATACTGTTATTCTAAAGTTTGCAACATCTACTGAAAATAATAGCTTCGAATATATAAAATATGTTGTTGTAAATAACTTGTATGGGGATTCCATTATGCGTGAGATTCAAAGGGTCTAGTCTCATGTCCTTATAAGTTTCCTTTTAGGTTAAATCTCCTGAGGTATACCCACTTTTCAATTTTTAATGCAAATAGCTTACCTGCGGACATGTTTTATCTTCAGTCCATTTTGTTTGGATAACCGTATTTTATTTCTACTTAATATTTTTTGTTGTTTTTGTTATAACAATTGTATGACCAATATTTTGAAACAAATTTATTAGAGAATTTATATTACCTAAGGCTATACTGAATTATTCAAAAACATGTTTTATGTCTGTGATCCAAATCTTAAATATGCGTACACTAAGATCAGATGATAAATTAAAAATAAATACATTCTTCGTAAATACTTAAAGTTGTTATAAAAAAGTGTAATGGTATTAACAGAACGACTAGTTTTGTCTACGCCTTATACAGTAGAACGTACTTGGTTTCTACGGAATATTAGATTACAGTAGTATTCCGTAGGTTAGCTTGAAAGCCCAACGGATATGCCTCCTTTGTAAGGAGAGACAATTGGTGGATCAAGTTATTTCAGCGACATCTTAATCTCAGTTGCTTTGTTTGAAGAAAACCAATTTGAAAGACTTTCATCAATATCATAATTTCTGTTGATATAAGCTTAGTTTCTTATTAATAATATCGTTATATCTTTTTCTCACTAGTATTATTACTCTTTAAAAATACTATCATTAAGCATAATTAATACTTAATATATAATAAGTTTTTATATTACTATATAAATTTCAGACTCAACCCGTCATATGGTACGAGAATGAACCTCCCGGCCAAGTTGTTATACTAACAGCTAAAGATTACGATTCAGCTGAAAACGGACCACCTTTTACATTCGCTCTTAACGAGTCTGCAAGCTTCGATATACGATCCAAATTCCACATACAAGGTAATGCAATTGTCTTATTTTTTCACCAGGTGCCACTTTAAACTGCCAACGAGAACTTAAAATGACGTTTTAGAATTAATTAATTGAATAAAACTGTCTCTATTTTTTAATGAAAATGTGATAAACGCGTCAATTTTAATTAATTAGCTCGAAATCTAATTTGATAAGTGCTGTTAAGTTGCCACAGATTTGGAAATTTTACGATCTCTGCGGAGATGGAAAATTCTGTGATGAAATTGGGGCTGGAAGGAAATATTAAGACGGTTATTTACTCTACAATTCAGTGCTCCGGAGTTTATAATCGGATTTTAGATTTATTAAAATTATAAAGCTTATTTATTCATTAATACTTTGTGAGATAATCTTTGGTTTTGACTTCTTATGAGTTAATGTTTATAAAGGGTAACTATTCAAAACAATTTGTCAAATAAATGTATATTATTAGAGACAATATCAGCTGAAATAAAATTTGAATGAGGCCGAATAGATTTTCCAATCAATTAATGTTGTTAAATTGCAATAAATGCTCCAACCCCAACCGTTAACTTTGTTTCTGGAGTGCCAATTCAATTTTAGTCATTTTCCCATTCAAGTTCGCGTGTTGATAATTGTAACTCTTGTCAGCGGAAATTATTTAGTACAAAACTGGTACGAAGTTTTTCGTTTAAGTAGACTTTCTTCTGAGTTTAAGCTCCGCTAACTTAAACGCGCCAGTGTATGTTCACTTTGGCGTTATAGCTATTTAGATAGCTATTAGGGCTGGTACTTTCAAACTTCAAACGAAGTTGGAAATTAATTCTTATCGAAGAGATAATGTATTGAAATCTTCTCTGTTGTTGGCTTAATTTAATTTACATAAACTTTGTGCTTACTTCGTCTTACACTTTTAATGTTATATATAATTGTTTCGTTTAGGAAACATTCTATCTACGTTGGTTTCCTTCGATCGTGAACAACGCAAGGAGTACAAGATACCAGTAGCTATAACAGATTCTGGGACACCTAGATTAACAGGCGTTTCCATTCTTCATATTGTCATCGGAGATAGAAACGATAATCCCATGGGACCCGGCCACAGTGACATCTTTGTCTACAACTACAAGGTAAGCCACTCCATCTACAAGCACTTTAATTCCGCTATCTACATACGACAAAATATATTCTATAGATGAAATCATCTATGAGACATTTACGCTAAATATTATTGAAAAACCATCCAGTACACCAAAATGAATATATTTATTTTATCATACATTACGTATTTAAAAATATTTTAATAGGTAATTATCATATCGGTAAGTTAAATTTAAGGTAAAAATATTATTAATATCCTTTACAGAACAATAGTTCTTATTTCATAATTTTAATTAGTACTTATAAAAATTCATTTCATTCGTTAAATATAATAATTATTATTAATCTTACTTATAATATATTTACACTTAATATGTACTTATATTATTAATATGTATATGTTATAATAATAATATTATTGTCTAATATGCTATCAGACGGAAACGTACTTCAACGAAATATACAGCTGGAGATATTATGTAAGTATGGTCTAGACTAGATTCTGTGTTGTCAATTTTCTCTAACTAAACTTAGCTTGGTACGATACAGAAATTCTAGTACAATGTGTCTTTGTTTTGGCCTGCATACATATCCTATGTATCAACTTCACGCAAATAATTCTTAGCACCTAATATGTATTTTTTTTAAATTATTTCTTAACTCTTTATCTGTCGTACTGGATGGTTGAATTTGTTACTTTTGTGATTTCTTTTCTATTATGTAACTTTTATAAATTCTTTTATATTTTTCTATGGTCTTTCTTTTCTATGTTTTAGTAACAATAAATCAAGGCTTAAATAAATTTCGAGTACATAAAAAATACGAGTCAAACTCTGCAGTCATAATTTTTACTGTTATAATTTATTGGCAATAAAACGATTCCGAATAAAATTCCACTGTAATCGGATTTCGTGTGATTCCATTACACAATATTAATATATAGCGACCTATAATGTAAGTCAATTAAACATTAATATATATGAAAAATTAATTTAACCAGGTCGTGTATAAAAAATACATCGAAATTTAATTAAAAAAATATTATTACACACTAATATAAAATTAAAACATATACGAGTATCTTTCTAGCAACTTGCGTGAGCTTTCGTCTTTCGTCAAAGAAATATAAATGTTTCTGTAGATTCCAGATTCTTCTAGAATCACAGTTTCAGATAGAACTAAAGCCACACTTACATAAATCGACGCCGCAAACATGGAAGAAAACGGAAATATTGTAGAACAATTTTCTAACGTTAAATCAGTTAACCGCTTTGTACAAATTGAACTCAATCCGAGCGAGCAAACCGCGTATCAAGCAGGACTATGGATTCAATAAGCTTATAAAACCTTTCATATAATAACCGTATTCAATTTTATAATATATGACTATAAAATAATGAAAATTGGTTTAGTCTTATAATTATGTTTAGTACATTACGTATCTTAAACTATCCACATTTTAAGAATCTTTGAAAATTTTAACAATATACTTTTAATATAAATCGAACTACAATTTAGTTAAACCTTTGATTGCTTTTCTTGGAATCAACTAAAGGATATCGGAATCATATTTTTCATTCCATTTATATAATTGAAAAACATTTTCCTTTATCTCATTTTCCTTATAAAATTAATATTTGAATAGAATTATTTGACATCCCATTCTCCCCTCCGTATGGCTAGACGGTTAAATAAACTTAGTTGTTTTGTCGAACATTTGTGGAAGCCGTCTGATACTTTTAGCAAACATTTGAATCTTCGTCTGGTTAGAAATGATGAAAAATTTTGAAACATTAATATGAAAAGTAAATGTAAAATTATAACCAAATTTAAGAATATCAATTCTGTAATATTTACGTTCTTGAATATTAATAAAAAAATAATTCTTATACAAATTTAATTATATAAGTATTAGTAAGTTGTGTATAATTCTAAAACTTTATGACTTTCTGTCAGAGCGCAATATTTCTTACCCTACGCTTACATGTACATACTCGTACTACTTACGTAGCGTTAACAGTATCATATTCTTCCACACGAGAAACTTGTAATAAGCAAGCCAATGAAACTTCAATATAGTATTGTATGATTGATATCATAAAGTCTGGTACACATTAAACCAGGGAAGTCACCCGCAAACGACAGACGGTACTAATGAAGTCAACTAAAAGACTCGTTACTAAGCAAATAGCTTTCATGTTAATCTCAGTTTAACAGAACTTTGCTTTAAATTTATTGCTGAATTCTAAAACGCGGCTATAATTTGAAGTTCTCGTATTAATTAAATATAACAGCATAAAATTTTGCTCAACTTAGATACGACCTACATCATTGTTATAAAGTAGTGACGTTTAAGGGTTAATTGTTTTAAATCTATTATTTACTTATATTTATTATTTGTAAGGTTATTAGATTTATATATATGTAATTATTATATTAAATAAATAGATTTTAATTTATTCATCTATTTTCTTATGTTTATTACGTGATTACTTCTTCATCAAAATTTTATTCTCAATCAAATTACATATTATTATTTCCTGTAGGGGGAAGCACCAGATACGGAAATTGGCCGCGTGTTTGTAAATGACCCTGATGATTGGGACTTACCTGACAAACGGTTCATGTGGCTACCTTCCTACGAACAAAGAAGCCCTTACTTCGACGTCCATAGTAATACTGGGATGATTACTATGAAGGAGGGAACACCTAACGGAACTTACATGCTCCGATTTAATGTAAGTACATATGATTTAATGTAAGCAATTGTTCCAGATACTGTTTCAGATTTGTTTTACAATGTTCAGCGTTACTTCCAGTCATGTCTTACAACTTGGCTTAAGCCTTAATCATAGCATTCAAATACATGTTCATACTTAAATGTTACCATTACAAAATTACAATGGGTCAATATTATTATTAGTTATAATAAGGTAATAAACATAATTCTAAGGATTATAGTAAATTTTAATTAGTACGGATGGCGCCTCTTGTAAAACAATTATGTCCAGGGTAATTAAAGGATGGGTGACTGAACAGATTTGGATTTTGACCAAATTATTATTGTACTATGTATGTCATAATCGGAGTCAAATGAAATTAAAGCCGTAATCCAGAATTATTCCTAAAGAACTGAATATTTAAAATTAAAAAACATTAATTCGTTTTATATTAATAAGTGTACGCGGAGGATGTATTCCAAAGAATTTTATATTTAATTTTATTTATTTATGAAATGACCTCAATTCTAAAAACTCTAAATAAAGTTTAAGCCTTTTGTGGAATTCTCATTTATGTCTGATTCATATTAAAAATGTTTCAAATCTTTGAGCGTTATCCGTGTTGTTGAAATATTAATAAAGTTTCAAGAACAGCACATTTCTCTTTTTATTTGTGCTTCTCAAGTTTTTAGATCTTAATTTTTAAATGTTTGACCTAAAGGCATTTGACCTGACCGGGTCTACTCCGACATACTATTAAGTAATGATATCTACTCCTAAACATACTCTTATTGATATTTTATAACTACTTCATTACTTTACTTCACCCATAAAAGTAACCCTAATGTTGCAATTCATAATGTTTCATCAAATTCAGTCCATCAGTTATATCTAGAACAAAAACATAAATACGTTTACACAACCCTATATTCATACTAGTCTATAAACAGAGAATTAATATATTCAAAGATAGTAATTTTATTTAATAAAAATGATGCACTAGTTTTATAATAACTTAATAATATAAACAGTGAGTTAATGTTCATATATTTATCAACATTTAGTTTGTTACCGCGACATTACTTGTGCACAAGTTATATTCCATGTGCTTACCAGTGCGTATATATGTGCGTACATATGTACATATTTGTTTATATGTGTGATAAAATCAATTAATTTCATAAGTTTAACTAATGGGATTTTATATGATATTATATGTTAGTTGTTATTATATACAAACTAATCCTCTTATTATATTTGTATTATCCGATATTCAAACGATATTATCATTTTAACCCGCTTTAGTTTACGTTGATACGTAATTTATATTCTAGTTTTTATCCTGGATTTGTTTGCTCTATATATTATTGGAATTTTTAATGTAATGAAAATTATTTCATAGGTGACGGAAGTAAACGAGCCGTTAGTGCCTTTTCACTGGGTAGAGGCTACAGTAAATGTGACGATAAAAGAAATACCCGAAGAAGCTGTTGACAAATCCGGTTCAATCAGATTCCTGAACATCACCGCTGAAGAGTTTATTGTACCAGAAGCTGATGTAAGTAGTAATATTCTTAGATTCTTTCGTCCCTATAATTATTTTCTAGTATAATTTCTTTCTGCCATCAAGTAGCTTGTTATTGTGAATGTTAAAACTCGATTGAGTTGTTATCTCGCTCTTCGAACCTTTGAGGGTTTGTCTCGGAAATTTTCAGGGTTCGATGCTCTTAAAAGGAAAAACCTATTGTTGTGAACTGTACTATCTGCTAGTATATATACGTTTTTCATTCCGTACGTACGTATATTCCGTTTGATATGAATTCTTGTTCGAATATATTTAATGCTTTTGAAGTGAATTCAAGCTGCAATTTACGTTAAGTGGTACTCATATCGTACTTATAATACAATGGGTGTACAGAACCCGAACGGGGTGATTGAAATGCCACAATATTTACATCTTTTGAGCCCATTTAGTTGAACAACACTGAATAAAAAAATAATTTTCACATAACCACTCGATACGAGTCCCATTTTCGTGTTTTTTTGTTTCTGTTAGGTCATCATTGTGAGAACACCTTTGCCATTTTTAATAAAAATCTCAATGAAAAGCCGTTATGATGCTTTATCCAGCTTATAACCTTCCTTTATATTCTGTATATATTAAGCTAAAATATATCTCTGATGCCAAGTAATCTTTGCGGGGAGTGCATTTACATGAGCACTTCAAAGAACGTCGCGGTTCGCTATATCATTGCTTAAATCAATGTAGTGTTAGTAGGAATATGCCATACCTATGTCATGTATTCCAATGATAGTACAATACCCATAACTTAGTCTGGTAATAAATAAAAAAATAGTAATAAATAGTACTACATATATAGCATCAATAATAGATTCTCATAGAGAATGAAAAGTCTCATTATCATCTCGCCTGTCCGTGATCACGGTTGTTGCAAATTAAGTGAAACCTAAGGAGTGTATAGTTCAAAACATAAAAATATATTTAAATGAATACTAGCGAAAGTAAGGGATTTTCTTATAATATAAAATTAATGTAACATAATAATTGACACAGTAAGATAAAAGAAACCTTAAAAAAATACAGTTAATTGCTTCTAAAACCAAATAGTTACAAAATTAGTTTTGTATAACAATGTATGGTCTACATTCTAACCGATGTAACCTATTGACGAAAACTTTGTGCGAAGTTTAATTTGTGTTGCGGAAACCAACCAAGGTCAAGCCGAAAAGTTAGACTCCAGTGGGCCTGGTTTTAACCTCGTATACTCAGAAATCTAATTTAAAAACATGAATAATTAACATTGAAATTAATTTCAAAATTGTATGGAAAAAACTGCTTAGTCGTCTCTAAAAATCGTCGTATAAATTATAGAAAAGAGATACGATTTTTTCAGAGCTATTTTTAATATTATTATTGGGATTTTTTGTATTCAATGTCTAAATAAAAATCCAAAGAGCTGTATATGACTAAAAGTAATATCTAAATTTTATACACAAATGTTTAGTAATTTCTCGTCTTTATAGGTACATATATACATATATGTATCGACAACCTGACTTTCATCCATCCATTCCAAATAATATAAAAACCTAATTTATTCCTCTATAATCGTTGTAAAATAAAATAAATGTCACAGTTATGTAAAATAATACACTCATTCCACTTTATACATACACGAAATGGTTATTTTATTACGATAAAATATTTGAATACTTCGATTATTGATATAGCTGGGGGCGAAAGTATTTGTCAAAAATATTATTTAGATTTGAATACATTTAATTTAACTTTGTTTTAAATGTTCTTTTTGTATATAAACCTGCTTTTGCCCGCAAGGTAGTCCGCGTTAATTTCGGAATCAGTAATATATGTAAGCTGCCCGAGCGAACTCTATTCCGCCCTTAAGGCCATAAATAACCAGATATCAGAGTTTATTGTTTTTTTTGTTTCAATTGAACAGAATTAAATATCCTATGTCCGTCTCCTGATACTAAGCTACCTCCCCACTAATTTCCAAATCCCAAATCCCTTCAGCTGTTCTTGAGTTATAAATAGTGTAACTAATATAACTTTATATATATATGTGTGTAGAAGATAAATATTTGTGTATGAATGTATGAAGGTATCTCAAACTAAATTTTTTTCACAGGGCACTAGCAAAAAAGACAAACTTCATCGTCGTTTAGCAGATTTATACAACAAATCTATGGACAATGTTGATGTATTCACCGTTTTTACCAAACTTACTGTCAAAGACGCCTTCCTTGATGTAAGGTTTTCAGCCCACGGATCCCCATACTTCGAAGCTGAGAAATTGGACAGTATGGTTGTGGGGATACAAGAAAAGGTACGCTCAATATGTTGCGAAATCAATCGTTTGTTATTCATAGCGCGATCCAAATGGGTTGACGGTTATTAGACCTTAATAATGCATGAGATCCGTTGCGTTCGTGATGATTTTTAAATATTAAATTATATCATAATTTGATAATATCGTATTATCAAATAAATGTTAAAAAGTAGGGAATATTGGAATATTATTCAATTAAAATAATTCGAGTAACTTTTTGATTTATATTGTAGTTATATAGCTAGTTGGCGAACTAAAATATTCATCATAATAAAAAGCTCTTGATATTATGCCATCTATTTAAAAAAATAACTTTATACATCACAAAGATAAGTAAAGAAATTTTAAACTTATGATTCGTGACATATTTTTCCAACACATAAAGAATTCCATACACAGAATTCACCTTGAGAGCAAATAGCGACGCTGGCGTCGAAGCGTCTAATGACCTCGTTACGAAAGAAATGAAGCCGTATGTGTTATCTTATTTAAATTTTCTTCAAAAAGGAAATTTAATTCTGGCTTTAATAAAACAAACGAATAGTTATTATAAAAAGATAATATATTTTTTGTCATAACAATATCTACTTCTTTGATTATGATATTAGCTAAAAATCCAAGTACATATTTTTATATCATAAAACATGAATAACCCCAATCAAATAATATGTATGGATTATTTTGTATAACACAAATAAACCAATATCTTAGTAATGACTAAGTTTCATCTATTTATACCGTGGCCTGAATGAAATGCAATTTATACTGTTGCACTATAGAGCAGTTCCGAAGTTGGTGTGAGTTAGGTTAGTTTAGATCAGGGGATTATTGAACATTCGTTTTCAATACCAATTGAGACTGGAAAGGATTTAGTGTCTTGCAAATAACAGTTGGGGTTATGGGATATAAATTTAGCACTGAAATTGAATTTCTTACGTAGTTGGAAGATGAGCTCGGCATCAGGATATATATGGTGAAGATAGACGAATGTCTGATAGAGAAGGAACAGTGCGAAGATTCCTGTAGGAATGTACTCATCAAAAACAATGTACCGCTCTCCGTTTATACGAATACCACCAGCTTCGTTGGAGTATCAGCGAGGGTTGAATCTGAATGCACTTGTGATGTGGAAGAACCGCTCGTTTGTTTGAACGGAGGTAAGTATCACATTATCAACTATTATCGAGAAATAGTCTTCTGAATGAAAAATTAGAATACAATTCTAAATATTAAATTTCATCTAAAATAAAATACGGGTCATATACGTTCCTATTTTTGATATATAAACCTACTAACCTTTTGATTTGAAAATGCAGATTTAACGTCCAGATTTTAAATATACAGCAATATTTATGTCTGACTTAAATTACTTTTATATATTTCACTTAAGATGGAATGAATACTGTAAAACTTTATTAAAGAACAATATTTTTTTATCATATAGATATCTCATAGCCATAACCTAATGATGATTTAGAATTCTAAACGCCTTAAGTTTTAATTCACCGTATTTTCTCTCACTAGGTACTCCATTCGCTGATAAATGCGAATGTCCTGAAGGCTGGAACGGTCCTCATTGCGAGCAGACCAGTATCGGTTTCCATGGCGACGGCTGGGCCATGTACCCCTCCCCACCAGCGTGCCACGAGGGTCACGTGACACTCACTCTGACGTCACACACTAGCAACGCTCTGGTCTTCTATCTTGGACCGTTGAAATTCAACCCGCTTTTAGATGTACAAGGTAGGTCGTAGTATTCAATATGAGATTCGTTATATATCTATTATTTATATACTAAGTAGCTAGACTGACATTCTAATATAATAAAGTGATCTACCTACATTATGCTTGACATCATTTTTGTTTAAAAATATCCGACCAAGTAACTAATACGCAATATTAATTAAATTGTATCCTTAATTTACTTGCTTTAGTTTAAATATTAGTCGTTTAATTACGTATGCTTTCACAAAAGTGATCATATAAGAAATTCTTATAATTCTATGAGAATGATATTGTATAATATATGTTCATTATCGAGTAATTAATAAACAGTAACAGTAACACACAGTAAGACGTCTGGTATCAAAGATGTAATTAATTATAGTTTTCATTATATTCATACATCATAAACTAAGGACCGGCTTAAAGTTATCGTTGACGTCTTATTCCGCTGTATTAATGGTAAAAATCCTATATACACCACGTCGGTATAATCCACGCAATATGCTGACCTGGTTTTCAAATGCAATAAGCTTTAAGTTTAACATTCCACAACATTCAATGTTATAAATGTCACAGTATATACTAAATCCATTCTCATATATTACAATTCAAAGATATTAATAAATTTTGGTATATTTTAATGAAATCTTCGTGTTTATTGGATCGATTTATCAAATACATAGGCTATGTCACCGAGGTGTTATATATAAGGCGGCACCTTTCGTGTTCAAATTTATGCCTATGATTAATGGTTTTAAGTAATCCAATAATACTATCGTGTAGATGAATCTATGTAGGTCATTAAATAGGATTTTGCGAGAACTAAATACAAATAAATATATATTATAAATGCATCCATTGAATAGATAGTAAACATTTTCGTACAAAAATATTCCGATTATAAATTTTAGTTTGTAACTTTAGTAGTTATTTAAAAACAATACTCTTAAACATTTTTAAAATGTCAAATAAAACTAAAGAAACCATAAACATGATAAATATCTTAAGAGTAATATACTTGCACTTTGGCACGGCTTCCGCCAGAGCAAATATTTCTTCTTGCGCTGCCAAATTGGCAATACTGTTAAGTGGATTGCACACACTTGTCGCAGATATGAAGGTAATTTGTGTCGAATGCACGTGTAGATTGAGATATTTGATGATTAGACGATATTTACTGATTTAGATTTGAAATTATTATCATTGAAGTAATATCACAAAATTCCTATAGAAAATTGAAATTTAAAGCTGAATAATCCTAGTTGTATAATGAAAATAGAACACTAGAAGGGAAAGCAATTCAATCTAGACTAAAATCAATCCTTTGTTCTTTTGGCGTTTACAATGAAAGTATTCACAAGTTGCGAGTGAGTTTTCAACTAAAACCGACTTGAAGCAACAATGTCGCTCAGCAATAAATACGTCAGGCTTGATTGGCGTAACAGCTTGAATAATGATTTCCTACGAAAACACGATTGTTCTTTCTCGAGTACCACACAAAAAGGGATTTGATTTATAGCATATACTGATCATATTATTAATGTCATGATCTCAGTTAAATGTCAGAAATATAAACCATAAAATTATGTATCGATTTTATAACATAATGAGTGTTTTGTTAAAGAATTTATTTCCCTTTTGTTGTAACAGTTGTATATAGTCTATTAATATTATAGAATCCAACCTTAGCTGCTGTAATGATTTTTTAACGATCATGTAATAACTGACAGCCCTGTGCCGGTATGATTTATACAAGCGATGCTAGCGTGATAGAGTACCTTTTTTCCCCACAGTTAGTTTCAATTCGTGGATTACATAATTATTTTAGCCTCGTTTGTTGTTTACGATGCCCTGGTTTTATGGTATTATCATAACTTCAGAAAGATAACACTTGAAATTGATGTTTCGTGCGACCTGTCCCGTTATATCTGAAAATGTTACTATAATGGACTCTCTACCAATTAAGTTATTTCGTTATAAAAGATTCATTTCTAATATTTTCAAGTTCATATAAATATAACATATCAAATATAATCTCATTAACTCTGAATATAGAAAAGTATTCTACAATATTGTTTTTATAATAAATATTGAGTTCTTCAATGTTATTTTTGAATGATAAATAATGATGAATAAAATGTATAAAGGTAGACCATACAACATAATTCATAATAGGACTAGAACTTAAAACTATATCTCATTGGTTGGTAAAGCCAATCTTAAAACTTCTATTATAAGTACATAATCAACGTCTGTAATGTAGTCCATACTTGTAATGAGCTCCTAAGTCCATTTCTGAGTCAAACACTAAGAGCCTTATAATCCTTGAACTTCGGCCAAGATTGTTGATGTTAAGGTTATTTGCACATTAACATCGCCACTCCATTATGGCGTTACAACTTCTAAGAAACGCATAATTGTACTAATTAAATAGAAGTATTATTTGGCAACAATACGAAATGGGTTACAGAAATACACTGAGTTGGCCTAATTAAATACAAGCTTATTTTAATATATTCATGGTTTTAATAATATTTTTACGATAGAGAACTCAAACTATGAATAATTAGAAGTCAAAAGATATCTTTGTTAATATTCTCATATCCAATAATCCTTGTTACAGATTTCATGTCTTTAGAACTGATAGATGGTTATCCGATACTATTAGTGAACTACGGTTCTGGTACGACACGTCTTAATAACAGTGTTGTACATGTAGCTGATGGTAAACCACATTTGATAGAGATAGTTCTCATGAGGAGTTCCATTGAAATGTTTGTGGATAGATGCAAGCTATCGACATGTATGAGCCTTGCAGCCCCTACTGGACCGAGAGAAATATTAAATGGTAAGTTAAAATACACTTAATCATACCCAACATTGATAATACTAGCTAACATTCAATATAAACAAGATTGTCACATATATCATAGAAATATAATATTAGAATTTGAAAATGTACGTTCATCTTGAGCCATATTCTGTGCGAAGAAAAATCTTGCTGTATTACATATTAAAAATCTGCGTTGCTTGATATTTAAGTGGAAATAATATCTCTAGGTTTATTTGCATCTCACATCCCGCGGAAACCTAATATAATATTTGCAATGCTTTAAAACTTCTTTAAATTTTTGTATGGAGGTGGATATTTAAATTTAAAAGAAATGCTTATCACGAAACCGTAGCAGTTAGTAAATTATTTCTTTCCTCATGAATCCAATGTATAAAAGGATTCTTTTAAACTCGCTTTTCATCGCAACACTCAATGGCTGAGCATAAATCATAAAATATGAGAAAGTATTTGGTTACAAGCGTCTTTACGATCAACTTATTCGGATCCCTGACTCGCAGATATGAAAGACATTTCAATTTGATAACAATTTTCATTTGTGACTTCACTTTCGTCATAGATTTCCTCTTTCAATATTATATGGAATAACTTATCTTGGAATACGAAAAACAGAATATATCTTTGCATCAATGTGTGTTAGAATATAAAAGATATACAAGATAATTCATAACATAAATATTTTCAGTCAACGGCCCCCTCCAATTGGGTGGGGCGAGCGTAGATTTACAAAGTCTAGCTAGATCGTTCGGATGGCGTTACGTGCCCACAAATCAGCACTTTATGGGCTGCATCAGCAATTTTACGTACAACGACTACGTGAGTATTACTTTTTATTTTGCTGTACAAACTCGATTACTGTGTCGCATTCGATCAGAATGAAATATGTGGCTTATACAACGAAGCTATGTAGGATATTGGTGCAATGTAATTATATGTTATATGCTTTTATTCTAGATGTACAATTTAGGAAAGCCGTCCGTTGAACGGAACGCAGATCCCGGATGTCAGAAGAGTGTATTCACAGCCGTTACATTTGGCATCGATACCAACTTTCTGGTCGCTATACTTGTGTGCATCGCGATATTAATAAGTAAGTGAAACATTTAATTAAATAAATTATATCACACATATTACAGTTTGTTAAATAACTTTTGCTTAAAATGTGTGATGGCAAAACATATTTATTGAATATATGGACCATTACATTACAATACTTCCCACTAAAACTATCGTATGTATAATAAGTTAGTGATTCATAGTCAAAATATGAATATGTCAATTGACACAACGTTTCAATTAACAGAATTGTTGCTGAGCACTTGTCTGCTATTAAGTGGTTTCCCTTACCAAACAATACATATTAGCTCCTAGTACATGTCTTGAGCTATAACTATCTTAGGATTAATCATGTGCAAACATTTCATCCAACTGCATAATTTAAAATAAATACAAAAAAGTAATGAAATCTAAGACTTTACCGATCCCGCGTATGCCAGAAAATTAGAAATCGTTACATAGTGGTAGATGATAAATAACAAGACCAACTGACACATTCACATCTCGTCTGTCCGTGATTAAGATTGCTGAAAAGTAATCGAAACGTCGGGAGTACGTAATTTAATATAATAAAAAACGCGTAGTATCAAATAATATTATATTGATTCAAATACAAAAAAGGCTATACATAAACATTTCGCTCAGTTCTCCTCCTGGCTGTGGTTGTACATCGGAAACGAGCTGATGCATGGGCGGAGAAAGAGTTAGACGATATAAGAGAAAACATCATCGCTTATGAAGATGAAGGTGGCGGCGAAGGAGACGCTGGCTACGACTTGCACGTACTGAGACAAATGTACGATGGACCTCCACCGGATAACGAACCAGCATTCATGCATGTACCAGGTAATTCATAGGAATTCTTATGGCAGAATACATCCGACCCAATCTTGTATTATGCTGATAAATCTTGAGTAGTTATTCTATATAATTTTAACTTAGGGCTTTTTTTTGCAGCAGCGTAGTGAATTTTGGACCAATATTACGAACTTATGTATAGATATACTGGTTTTTGTTTGAGTTATTAAGTTTAAAATAAAATTTTAAATAGATTTTTTGTGATTGGTTTCTTTTTATTGGTTGCTACAATCAATTATTTATTCCATTGATAAATAGCTTATTGACCAACACTATATATTTCACAGTGGTAGGCGCAGCTCCCGATATATCAGGATTCTTGGACGACAAAAAATCCGTCCTGGATCGAGATCCAGATATCAATCCGTACGATGACGTGCGTCACTACGCGTATGAAGGAGATGGGAACACTAGCGGATCGCTATCTTCGTTGGCTAGCTGTGAGTATTATGTTATAAGAATATATTATATTATAATAATAAAAATCAATGAGACAGCACTGCTTTGTAAGTTGAGATTTCGTACAGATGTACTGATACTGTCAACACGAAACCTTCAGTTAAAACAGCAAATTCTACAGTGAAAACTATTAACACTACCGTATTAATAATCTCAAATGGATTTAACTGTAATAACTTATTAATTAATAAATGTGTAATATAATCACGTGTTTATTGACAACTAAAATTTGAATATAATATGTATAAGTTGACAAAAATAAGACAGTTAACAAAATAAATGGATAAAAAATAGTTTTTAATAAGTATTTTCATACAACATAAAAATTATATTATCGCACTTGATTAGGTCCGCCGTCACCTATCATAATGGCCCCTCATAACCCATTTATATTTTAGGGCACAGTTTTTTGTCATTCTGTTTGAATTAACCCATTGTATTATAACTTAATTTAAACTTTTTCAAACCAAAATTCAATATGACATATGTCACTGCAGTAAATAATTTTCTATTATTATATTAGGAATTTGTAAACTTTGATTTTTAATTAAGTTTATATTAAAAACCAGACACGTGGGAAGTAATTTTCGTTCATAATTCGTTCCTAATACCTAAATTTCTATGACAAGTTCTTTGACTCCTACAACTAATTAACGAAAACATAATATGGCGTTAATTTTGGATTACTCGTTAAAGGATATTAAAATTGTTGAATCTGTCTGAATCTCTAATCAGACAACTGTCAAACAACTGACAGTTATATTAAACGTGCTTAGAAAATAGAGCACTCCAAAAGTTTATATAATAAATTCTAAAAATTTTCTAAAATGTGTTTCTCTGTCAATTTTATTTAAATTAAGATTTAGTTCACTGTAATGAACCGTTAACGATGTATTAAAAAACATAAAAATGTTTGAAATTGGTAAAACATTCTCGTGTAGCGTGAATACAAAAAATACGGGTTCACATTTATTTATAAAGACAAAATAACGAGGAACATCAAAATTAAAGAGATGTCGATAAATATATACATTTTAAAGCGTCACAGACAAATCGGATTGTATCGACGAACGCCAAATTAACATGGCTAATTGACAGAAACTACGTTCCTTCCTTTAAAACGACGAATTCGTTCCGAGCATAAAATACAGAAAAAAAATATCAGATCTGTAAAAAAGCTAACAAGAATTTCACAGACGAAATTCCGCCACAAATTTTATCTTTGAAACTTAAAACGCTATTATTTTAATTAATGGTCACACTAAACCATTTTAAAGTATATATATATAAAATGTATTTTACTTATCTGTTACCGAACGGGGCTAAGTGTATCTGAAAAAGTGTCTTTCTGTACTTTCTTCTGTTCAACCAATTCTTTACCCTGATTACAGTGCTAAATGGTGGCACATATAAATTACGCTATCTTTTTCATTTATCGTACTATTTTAAAAGCTCTTTGTGTAAACTTATTGCCAAGACTGATATTGTAAAGGCCGTGTAATTAGATTTTCCATAGATATAATCTGTTTATATATGAAAATGGCGTCAAAGAAATATGTAGATAATAATTATAATGACATGGATATAAGGTAAAACTTAGAATAACATTAATAACATTTCCTATGCATAAATTGTTTGAGTAAATCTTATATTACACGTGTAATGAATAATATAAAAAGAAATTATTAGAGTTAGTGTAGTTACATATATTTTTCTAAAGCTCTAGTTCCTTAGTATAGGGTGCGATGTACTTCTTATTTTTATGTACCATTCATAATTTAATTGATATGATATAATATGTATGATACGATATGAATCTCGTACTGACCCATGTATTTCTCAGGTACCGACGACGAAGATCTCAAATTCAACTACCTATCTACATTCGGGCCTCGTTTCCGTAAGTTGGCGGATATGTATGGAGACGACGGTGAAGACCGTCAGCACGAGGAGTCCTGGTGCTAGCGCCACGCCTGGCTCGTGTAGCCAAAAAACAACCTAATGTGCACCAATTAAGGTGGAGTTTACATTGGACATGTGAGACCAAGCTTTGATGCCTTAATTTGAAACCCACCGGTCGGTCGCCTGTGATAATCGTTTGGTTTAGCTTTTGTTGAAACGGTTTTTAATTCATTCTCTGTATTTGATATCGCATACCAGTTGTTTTTTTACGTCCGATTCAACATTCCCATTACTATAGTGACACGGCTTAAATATGTAGTACTGTAATGTGTAATGTTTTATCTTGTATGGGACGTTTAATGTTTTAAGAAATGACTGATTCGTATCACTCTAGGCATCGTTGTAGATACGCCTGAATTACTTGTATGTAATTTTTATATTAAGCAACTTTGATAAACCTAAGTCTAGGACATATGTACCTATTATATTTTTATATTATGATTATTTTTTTTATGTATGATTGTAAATTATTAGTGAATCTAGTATTATGATTGGCAGCATTTATGACAGCGGGTGACGTTTAGTGTATTTAGTGCCATTACTTTGGTTTGTATGTAAGTCTCCGCAGAGATATTTTGTTTTTTTTTTTGCTCGTAAATTACTCGCGTTTAGTCAAATTAATAGATCCCGCCCATTATAAGCTAATGTGAACATCGCTTTATATTGTTAGTTATAAGCCTTTTTTACAATTTCCATGTGTGACGACTTCGTTCGTCAAATCTTTTGTTATACATACAAATAAATAAATGTTTTGATTACTTTAATTTCTGTAGTTCTTTAATAGCCTATATAGTATTAGTTAACATACAAAGCTATTTATCTATATACAAGAATATTTCAAATTTCATCGATGTTTAGAACTTAAATGTAAATATGTAAACTAGTACATAAAATTGTTTAACATAAATTTAAACTTTTTGTATCGTAATTATAATACAAGGTGTCTTATTATTATGCATATCAACGAATTCTAATGAACACTTCATTACTTCATCTGTTAAATGTTATAAATATAAAATAAAAATAAACATTTTTTATTCATAACAGTATAATATTCATCACAGATTAAAAAATATGTTTTAATGGATTCGAGGATAAGGCTAGGTGTACACTAAGTATTATAAAGCCTGCCTCTAGTTTATATGAAGACATCCCGTGAGATGTAGCAGGGGATGAAGGAACAATCAATCTTTCTGATTTATTACAGCCCGTTGAACCTTGAGAGTATAGGCATAGTTTAATTTTAGGCTTGTAACTTAGGATCCATGAGCTTATGAAGTTTTTACGCGAATTAATAACAAATGATTTTGTTCTGATATAAAAAAATGTCGATTATTTAAAATATTTTTTTTTATTCCAATTTATGAAAAGAAAAATGTTTTAAGCCCGTAAACAGCAGCAATAACTTTATTATTATTATTAATTGTTTATAACGAGTTATTTTCCCGAATATAATAATTGGACATTTATCGCACGATATAAATCTTGTCCAATAGAACATTCAATCCAATGTTAACCAAATTCATCTTGATCACATATCAGCACACGTGGTAAACGCGTCTTTACGCAAACATTCGTGCAAACACTTGTCCAAACATTTGTCCAACGTCTATAATCAGCGTATTAACCAAACATTTAATTTACGTTTTCTTTATGCATACAATAGAATTTCTCAACCCTATATTTTGCGTACAAATAGCTTAAGGTATTATAAGAAAGGTTTGATTAAGAAAATGTCTATAAGAGATTCATTCCTACATTCCATTGAAGTTACTTGTGGTGTGTAATTTAATAGAGTTATAGAAACAATTATTCGTACTTAGTTCGATAATTATTAGTACCATATATGGATGGTACGAACACTATCAGACGCGGACACTGCCATTAAATTCTTCAGCGTTCATCTATTTGTAGTCTCAAATTGATTTTAAACAAAACCACTATCGGTTTGAGAATATAACTATAGATAGGACGTATCTATGTGTGTGTAAGTATTTTATAAACGCGTGTGTTGCTCTATGAATGTATTAGTATATTATAGGTTCTATTCACACATACATATTCACACTATACTTATTCAAGATTATGTGTGTGTGAGTAAAAGTAACATAATGTAGTGTGTATTGAAATGTTTAAATTGTAATAAATGGGTTTAAAGCGGAAAGTATTTAAGTGGTCTAAGTATAGACGGAGGAAGAGTCCGACTGAAGATTGTCATATTAATTGTATAATTAGATTAAGTGCCGTACATTTTTAAATTGTTTATATAGATATAAAATATTCAATTCATTGAAATAAAGTGATGAAATTGAAATCGTTTTCTTTATACATTAACTTACGAAATACCTTTACCTTATTATTTTATTATTATTATTATATTACCTAAAAAGAGTTCATTTGTATGTAAGACTCATCCCAAGTAAGAGAAGTATTATTTACCTTTTTGTAGTAAGCAATCTATTCTTGACTCATATAGTGATTAAAATTGCTAACAATAACTTCATATTGGTTCCCGACGGTTTTAGAAAAAAAAACTCCTAACGTTTATCCCTTATTGAAATAATTTTTTTGTGACTTTAGCTTAAAAAAAATACAAAGGATCATTTGATGTAGTTTCTTTTAAATTGTAGATTTTTTTCTTTTAACATCACAATTCTCAGTTAGATATCTTAAATACGAAGTTGCAACTCAAAAGTTTCTAAAAAGCCTTTTGCATTTTCTGTAGCGATGTTAAAAAGTTGTACAAAAGCCGTCGACCAACCAGATTTAAATGATCTTCAAAGATTAGAAAGTCGCCTGTAAACAGTATCCATTTAAAATAAACTTCTGTCTACAAAAAAAATTTTCCTCAACATTACGAAGATTGCTGAAGTTTGTACAATTTCTCTCGGTTAAAGTATAATAACTCAATATATCATTTACACAAATAGCAGTCTTGTTCTTGCAGCAAACAACGGTTACAGCACCTTTCTCGAATATAAACTATAATTAGCTTAAAGTAAAGTTTTTCTTCTCTCATAAATGCAAAAATATACTTCTGTATTATTAAGAAAATATGTTTATGCTAAACACTTGAATTGCAAAAAACGACGCTGTTTGCGTGTCACAGAACGTAATTGTGATTAATGCCTCGCCACCTCTAGTTGCCGCTTCTGAGAAATAAAACTGGTATTACCAGAAAATTAGATGTATTTGTTCCTGAAACGAAGGCGACCACAATAAAGGCAATATTGGTCTGCAGTTAATGGCGTGAATAAAAAGTTAATTACTTCCGGTAATATTTAGTTCTCTAATTCCGAATACTTTTTTGTATAATAATTTGTTGTTTTTCTTTATTGTGTTGAATATAGTATACATAGTATTTTTAAATTTATCTGTTACATTTGTTGACGGGAAAAATATTAAAGAATTTTTATATTCTTATTCAATAAGGCAGTTTTCATATATCATGTACAGAGTGGTATTTGAAAATCAAAATCATTCAGTTCAGCCATAAGTTTGAATTCTGAGATACTTATTGCGTTATTCTATCTTATATGCATTCTTTCGGTCTTCTCCTAACATTAGCTAACATCTTTTTTTCGATATAATTTATATATTTTGTTTTACGTTACCCTTTTAAAGTGTCAAACAATATGTCAGAAACAAAGTGTATAACCTCCCTTATTTGAGACCCAGAGTTTGAGGCACTCTGTGAGAGGTCGAGCAAGAAATTTTAACGAGCAAACAATTGTGAATGGGACTAACTACGTGTCCTCATGAACCAAAACACTCGTTTGATGACTTCAGAGGATTTGAAATAACTTTTAGGCTGATCAAAATATAGGATTATTTTTAGAACTTTGCAAATAAATTAAAATTGAAGTTTTAGATATAAATCTGGGGATATTTTTATTTTATTTTATAGATCCAAAATGGAATTATATTTTTCAGTAACATTTATTTGGATTTGAAGAATTGTACCGACTTCGAAAAACTAGTACCTACTCAATTAAACTATGTTTAGTAGCACTCGACCCTATTTTTATTATTATATCACACTTGGGAGGGCATTTCCAAATAAATATTCTAGATATTAACTTTCAAAACTTAGTAATGTGTTTTTAAAAATTAAAAAAGGAGATTATTAAACTTGACATCAAAACTGTCCCAAAATATTTTGATTTTAAATTATAAAACAAAAAATAAACATTTTCTTTTATCAAGGAAACAGTTACATATGTCTTATTTATTGATACTTAAAGTGATGTAATATGTATGAGCAGTTATTTTTAGAGTACATTACTTTTAAAAAGAAATGTCGAACACCGGCAGCGAATGACGCATGATGGACACACAACTTTGATGGTTGTTACTAAATGCATAATATATATTACGTATTGTATAAAATGTACTATGAGTATAAGAATATACCGTGTTGTCTATTATTTTTACTTCAATTAAGTGTTCAAAATAAAATATCAAATAGTTTTTGAGAACTATAGCATACATAAGTAGAGTTTAAAATGTCTATCTGTTCCGAAGTTAATAATAATGAAATTGACAATGTCTTTCGAGTGAATGTTGAGGATATGAAATATTTTTTTCTGTTCTAGATATAGTGAAGCGAGAATTGTATACTTAATAAAGTGTTTCTATTCTACAACTTATGTGATTTAAAATGTTAGTTACGATATCTTAAAGTGGAAATTATACCTATCATAACTAAAAATATTTTCTTTAACATTTGAACTATGAAACATATGTATTGATATTGTTACAAATTCACTCTCAGACAAATTATTTATTTATAGTTTATCAACAAAACTTGGTGGCTTTTTTTATACTCCACCCACGTCACATATCTTTGATAACTTTAATATATTGAATTAATACAAACTAATATTGACCGATATTTTTTCACAATTAATGACCGAATATAAAAGAATTACTTATATTTTGCAAAAATTACTTATTTAAAAATAAATAATGTGTAAGTTAATTTTAAATTACGCATAAATATT